GATAACGGAATGTCCTCTTGAGTAAGATTTGACTGTGATCTCATAATCACAGTCTCTTGTGAATCTTCTAATTTTTCAAGGTCTTCTTCAGTTTTTATCGAATGTCAAACAATTCTCCGGCATGGACAAACTTTTTCAAACCTTTCTCGCGCATCTGACAACGGCTCAATGAGTTTTTCACAGCCTCGTACAGTCAACACATCACACCTTTGAATTATTTGATAATCTCGAGACGATTCTTTCTTCTTGGAAACTTTTATTAGCTTTACATCTTCAATTATAGAATCATACTTTGGTTTGTTATTAAAACACTACGTATTATATTTTAAATCTTCGCTAAAGAGGTTTGCGAAGAATCTTTTCTTGACTTTACTCACCAATTCGGTGCTTGCTTGCATTCTAGGATTTAAATTTATCTACGTAAAAAGAAGGAGTGGGAAAGAAAGTGAAAGAAACAAACTTTTGAACTTTAACGATACGAAAGCCGTTAATGTGTAGAGTACCTAGATACTATGCAAATTACCTAGGTAATTTGAGAAATTGAACAATTTTTGCAGCTTTAACGGATCACCCTAGTTAATCTGCAGATTAGCTAGGTAATGTACACATTAACGGATTTCGAGCTTTAGCGGTAACATATGAATAAATAATTTCTAAAATTTTTCTACGTTAAAAGTTATTTTTCAACGACTTAAAAAGATTTTTTAAAAATATTTTCAAAAATTAATTAAATTAACCTATTACAGTAATTATTTTAAAACATGAAAATTATTGTTGCCAAAATTAGCATGGGATTTTTGCTATACTCTAACACGACCAGAGATAAAAGCGTACCATTCCATCTAAATGCACGCATAATTTAACATTTCCAGCAGTTTGCTGCCGTCTTGAATGGATTAATTCATTTCTCCAAATATTGTGCTAATAGCTTCTCCTGTCTTCTAGATCACCCGTGCTGAATTTCTTTTCATAACTTCATATAATTTGTTGCCATTTATCATTCTTCGTCACGAAATATTTAGCTCAAGCGAAAAGCTTGTCTTTATGGCTCTAATTTACAGGCAGAATTTGTTCCATTAATTTATGACTCTCTAACTCTATATATTCTTCACGTTGGCACATTTCTGGATAGAGGGGATGCAATTTGCTTTAATTTCATTAAGATGCAATTTGGAAAACATTGTAGACCTACAAATTCTCACTGTTTGTCTTTCCTTAATCTCGAGAAAGAATTAAGATAGATAGCTCTGGAATTGTACCGGAACCACATAAAATTATAAAAGGCAATTTATAAAATAATTTCATGAAATTAATAATGTTAAAAGGCAGAAATTCTATGACCATGAATGGACATCTTCAAATTAAATGAAGGAAAGGAAAAAGTAATACTTGTATTTAAAGAATAAAATAATGTAAGTCCATCTTCAACCATCTTCGATGGGCATCGAATTGACGGACGATTTGACTCATCTCGCGATCTCGTTACACTTAGTAACGAGTGACGACCGATTTGAAAGAGGAGATGAGTAAGAACAAGCAATTTTCTGTCGTATTCGTTAAGCTGATCAGAACTTCTGTAAGAAACTTTCTTCTTTTACAATAAATCGGGCCGAAATTTAGGTAACGAGAGTTTTCTCTGTTCCTAACGATCCCCATACAATGCGCAATTACTCTGTCATTCTGCCCCTTTAGCGGGGATTGGCAACCTTACGATAAAGAAAAGTAGAGACGAGATGTGAAAAGCTTTTGGGCAGGAGGTCCTGATATACGAACGTACGAGGCAAACCAAAAGTCGCGTAATTTCATTTAAAAAATTTTCCGCTGAAAGGAGTTAATAGATGATCTGCACGACTTTATTTGTTAACAGGAAAAGTATGACATAAAGAATGGACACTACTGATTTGAGACCGAGAGCATATAGTTTAGATTAAATAAATTATAAATTGCAGTAAAATAATTGCCCATTGTAAAATTTCTGTTTTCTGTAAATTTCTATTTATGACGGTAATTCGGCACAGAAAGTCTTCCGGACGATCTTTATGTTTTACGTTCTCTACTAGAAGCGTTGTAATTTCCCACAACATCATGAGAAAGATTTTCTTTTTTCCATTAAAAAACCTTTAATTTACATTCAATTGTATTTGTAGAAGTTTATTTCTAATCTACCACAGTCCTATGTTTTATACTATCTAATGTGAAATTTTGAGTAATAATTACGATTTAATCGATAGAGTAGAGATGCCTATCTAATCAGTATTCAATTCACGACTTTTCTTTTTGTAATGCTTTTTGCAAACAAATACGAAAAAAAGAACTGTTTATATGACAAAGTTACAGTAACTCGGAAGACAGTAAAGCCAATTTTTCCAAAAGATGAGTCAGTAAATGTTAAACTAATAAGGAGCAATCCGGCCATAGACTTCGCGTGGCAAACTTCATCTCAAATATCTTAGTCCAATTCAGTCCCAATTTGTTTCTTATTCTCTTTACTGTTTCTTTGTAAGTACGATGGGATTAACATGTCATTTCTTATATTATCTGAAATGTTATCACTTGATTTTTATTACGCACTATACTTTCATATAAATGTAACTTTTTAAAAATATTTTCTACTTGTACTGCAATATTTCGACGACTTCGGGGGCCATTAAAAATAGAGCTGATGTGAAAAAATTTTTTCAGTCCCTTTGTACTCTTACGTTAGAATAATTTAATATTATTTCGTTTAAGAAAAGATTTGTCCACATGCCAGAATATTATCTCTTAAAAGAAGAAATAACTACTGTACTATAATAAATTTTAAAAGAGCAACGTTAAATATTTATAATTGAATTCATATTGTCGAAGTTAAATTTAAACTAACATAGGCATGCACATAGAGATAAATTAGTATGAAATAACAATATAATTAAATAAAGTAACAAGATAAAAATTTACGTTTCGTTAGTCAATTAAGAATTAAGACGAATAGGCAATACCATGGCGACATAAAAGTTAAACGCTTAAATTTTTAAAGAAATAATATCCAAATCCTTGGGAGATCCAACGTAAATTTATTACAGGATTCGAATCTTACAGTAAATAACGTTTCCCAGATAAAAGTAACTTATTTGTCAGCACATTGCATTAGAAGCGAAGTCTCATTCCATTTCGGCACACAATTTCTCTGCACCACACTCCTACAAAGTTTTGTATTGCACTTGTTACGGATGTCATTATGGTGTTCAGTAAGACGGATCTGTAATTTTCTTGTCGTGGCCCCGATGTAAAAAATTATTTGTAATGGAGCCAAAAAACTGGCGATTTATCTAGTGTGAAAAACACATCCCTGTGATTGCAGAGAAGTTTCTATGTTTACCATTTTTGTCGAATGAAACGTGACTCGAACAGCAGCTATATTTAACAAAATCATCTAGCAATAAGTTGCGTAACTTTCCCGGTTTTTATAAGATTTTATTTTAAAAATATTCGCTATCCATCTCAACTTAGTAGTGGTTTGCCCTTGTACATCATACGTTTGATTTGACAGTAGAGTCGT